ATTTAGAACTATTGAAAAACTTATAAGACCAATAGATATGGAGACTAAAGTGGTGGACATAAATTTAAGACACTTTTATTTTTGCTATAACTCAGCCGCATTTCTAGCTAGAGACCTGATTCTTTCATAGTTAGAAAGATCTTGTCATGGATCATGTAACCTGAAAAAATTGTCAAAATCAAATATGTTTTGGATGAGCTACGGTGAAAACAATTTTGCGCCAGCGGACATAAATTTAAGACACTTTTAGTGTTTTACATTTTTTTACCTAACGATTTTGTTTAAAGTATTAGAGTCATATATCAATCGGTACAGAATTTTGTGCTTTACATTTTTTGGAAAAAAATTTTCATCCATCATCAAATTATCGTAGTTTAAAAGCTGAATTTTGATTGGTCACAGTGAAAAATGTTGTTTCGAAATGAGTAGGACAATAAAGGCAATAATTCTGAAAAGCAACTAGCGATTAAGATAGAGCGTGAAAAACTGAACAAAATCATGTAATTTTTGTGCAAAAAGAATAATGTTTAAGGATAGATTTGTTATGGTTTTTGTTGATGATGAGTCATCGATTCTCGAATTTAATTTTTTTTTTCGACCAAAAATTAAGTTTAGAATTTTGAATTTATATGCGTTTGGTAGAGAATTAAATTCTCTACAAGATGAGACCTTTCGCATTTCTCTATAACACCTATAAAAATTGTCCGGAACCTAGGAATTGTAGTCCGTATATATGTGAATCTTGGGTCTCCAGAAGTGAACAAAAATCGCGAATCACAGCGCACTACTGTCCACATGAGACTAAACGGATTGGGTGGATAGTAACAGACTTTGATTCAAGTTTTTCAGTTTACTTCTCGGTGATAAAATATACCAGAAAAAGCGACATTTATCGAGCAAAACGAATTTCGCTTATGAACTTCGAACTATCCACAGTAATACAATTTTTGTAGGTATCACAGAGAAATGTGAAAGGTCTCATCTTGTAGAGAATTTAATTCTCTACAAAACGTATATAAATTCAAAATTCTAAACTTAATTTTTGGTCGAAAAAAAAGTTAAATTCGAGAATCGATGACTAATCACCACCAAAATTAATAACAAATCTATCCTTAAACATAATTCTTTCTGCACAAAACTTATATGGTTTTGTTCAGTTTTTCACGCTCTATCTTAATCGCTAGTTGGTTTTCAAAATTATTGCCTTTATTATCCTACTCATTTCGAAACAACATTTTTCACTGTGACCAATCAAAATTCAGCTTTTAAACTACTATAGTTTGATGCTGGATCAAAATATCTTTTCCAAACTGTAGAGCATAAAATTCTGCATCGATTGATATATGACTCGAATATTTTAAACAAAAATCGTTAGGTAAAAAAGTGTAAAAAACTAAAAGTGCCTTAAATTTATGTCCGCTGGCGCAAAATTGTTTTCACCGTAGCTCATGCAAAACATATCTGATTTTGACAATTTTTTCAGGTAACATAATCTATAACAAGATCTTCCTAACTATGAAAGAATCAGGTCCCTAGCTAGATATGCGGCTAAGTTATAGCAAAAACAAAAGTGTCTTAAATTTATGTCCACCACTTTACTTAATACTTATGAAATTTATTCAAACCTTTGAACTTATTGTTCAAACAGTATATAATACTAATTAATTGAACATACAACTATCTATCTACTAACGACAAAACATAATTCGCAAACATTTTGTCGTTGGCTGTATAATTCAAAAGAGTTAATCTTCATTTACAATCTCTAAATGTGATTTTTTTCATACTCGGATGAAATTATTTTTCACATATCACACAGATTAAAAGATCAATGAAAAAATTTCATATATATTTTTTATTTTATCTTTCGGTTTATCAAAAATTCTATTTACAACTCACACGTAGACTAATTCTTTTTGATATATTACAGTAATTACACAAATATATATATATATATATTCAGTCAGAGACTTACATGAATCTTTCTTCAATGGATAATATGTGACCATATCAGAATTTTAAAATAATCCACAAATTCAGCTAATATTTTATATTTTCTTTTTCCTAGATTCGTTCATCATTTCGATCAAATAATACTCTTAATACTATGTCACATCTTGATTCAAATTTATCAAATTCTTCTAAAACACCATTACAACTTTTCTCTAGTGCAAATGAAAATTCTAATCAAGTACGTTCATTACCTGTTAATTCTCATTCGCGTACGTCAATTTCACCTTCAC